ACACACACACACACACACACAGAGAGAGAGAGAGAGAGAGAGAGAGAGAGAGAGAGAGAGAGAGAGAGAGAGAGAGAGAGAGAGAGAGAGGATGGGGAGTCAGATGAATGGCATCACTAAAGAGAGCATGAAAGAAAAGTGGTTGGTTATGTGTGATTTAACATCACTATAGAAAATGAAGTAGTAGGGTTGTATATGTATCATAATTATCATTTGATGGCATGCTGTTGGAGATATGAACGGACTTGGCCATTATGTAACAGAGGACTGTAATATTGGAGCCTGACTGAATTCGGTGGTCTGTACCTCTGAGCCTCTTGTTTCTGATGCACTTTGTTGCCTGCCCTCGCATACGAACCTTGCCTTCAGGGGATAAAGCCTACTGGGCGCCGCCAGCCATTTTGGCCCGGTAGGCCGAGCCTTTTTGCAGCCCCATGTTAACCGGCAGGGGTGCACGGTGTAGCGGGGCACAGTATTGGTGCTTTAAGAGTGCAATTTGTCGTCAGCAATCAATACAGGAAATTGGACTACTTGTGAACTGGCTAGTCTTGAAGTCTGCGAAAATACTCCAAGTGAGGAGATTTGCACGTCAAATTTTGGGATTGTTAGTCGAGGACACAAATTGAGTCAATTCTACGTTTTTTTTTTAATCCTAAGTTACCCTGAGATGTTTCAGTTCGCCAGCCTGAGATTCTCTGTTATCTGGCTGTGGACTTGCCAGCAGTATATGGGGGGTTTAGTTACCCCATTGGTGAACCTCCAGGGGGTGTTAGTTACCCCACTGAAGAACCTCCAGGGGGTTTAGTTACCTCATTGGTGAACCTCCAGGGGTTTAGTTACCCCATTGGTGAACCTCCAGCGGGTTTAGTACCCCATTGGTGAACCTCCAGGGGGGTTAGTTACCCCACCTCTAGGGGGTTTAGTTACCCGATTGGTGAACCTCCAGGGGGTTTGATTACCCCATTGGTGAACCTCCAGGGTTTTTAGTTACCCCATTGGTGAACCTCCAGCGGCTTCAGTTACCCCGTTAGTGAGCCTCCAGATGTCAGTTGTTTTCAACTCCTCCCGAAAACATTCTGTTGCCTCCTACGGCCTTCTTTTTCTTTACCATGTAAGCAGCTTCCCTACAAATTGATACGAAGTTTTCATGCGGATAATGGATGTAGATGCCTTTTATGGCTAAGTGCATGCAGATTTTGTGGAATGGCAACAACCACAATGACAGCAATGTCATATCGGGGACAGCAATCAAGGCAATGTTACTCAGTGGTCTGTGAATTTCTTCATAATACTCCAAGATAAAGTGAAAATGATTCTGGAGCTTTTAAGGATGGTTGGGTGGTGTAGTGAATGAATGACTATGAGTTTCAGCGAACATAGTCATGAAGTCCATGTTGAATGGCTTCTTCTTCTTCTTCGTCGTCTTCTTCTCCTTCGTCGTCTTCTTCTTCTTCTTCTTTTGTAAAAGGGGCAGCTGCTAACATTGTTGTATCCACCTCATGTGCAAACGGATTTGAATTCATGGTCAGTTCACCAACAGTCACATGTGTAGTACCATTTACTCGCATATTGTAAATGTGTTGCACATGGTTATTCTGTACTGAGGACATGAGACTGACAGTCTGACATAGTCTGACAGAGTATGACAGAGCGACAGCTTTAGCTTACAGGCTTACACAGTGACTCTATGTTTAGGAAATGAAAACGGAGTTTGGCATACCAACTCCTATAACTTTACAGGTGTACATGGGTCCACAGTGGATTTCTCACTTGGCCGCGCGCAGTCCGGGGCTGGATTCACCTTTCCCCTGGTTATATCTGAAGGCGCACTCAGATGTGCTTAACCACATTCACGGGCTGATTCAGTTGAAGTACCGATATATCCACTCTTCTGGATATACAGTTTTATGTATTTTAGATACATATGAAGCTATACCTGTGGACTCAAATAGAGAGATGTATTCATCTCTCTCTCTCTCTCTCTCTCTCTCTCTCTCTCTCTCTCTCTCTCTCTCTCTCTCTCTCTCTCTCTCTCTCTCTCTCTCTCTCTC